CTGGTAAACAATGCCACAGGGCTCTCTGCATGACCAGCTCTGGTAAACAATGCCACAGGGCTCTCTGCATGACCAGCTCTGGTAAACAATGCCACCACAGACACTGTGGAAACCATTCTTTTTCCAACTGAAGATCACATATTTTTCTGACAGATACTCAGAAGTGCCAGTGCTAGGTCATATATTTCTATTTTATTCTTTTAATAAAGATGCAAACTACCATCTAAAATATTTCCAATTTATATTCCAAACAACAGTTATATGTTCCTCTTTCTTCACATCCTCCCCAACTCATTTATTGGAGTGAGTTGTTACCATGACACCAAAACCAGACAAAGATTTATTTTAAAAGAAAACTATGACCAGTATCCCTCATGAATATAAATGCAAAATCATTTATCAAAATATGACTAGAATTCAGCAATATATAAAAAGAATTACACACTATGAACAACTATAATTTATTCCAGTATACAACACTAGTTCGATATTATTAGCAAAGTAATGAAGGAAAATACGATCTTATCAATGAAAAGAGAAAAACTGTCAATACTTTAATACTCATTAGTATTTTTAAATGTCAGGAAAAAAATAAGAGATGGAAATTTTCTCCACCTGAAGAATATTGTACTTAATAGTGAAACAATCCTTTTTCCTATGATCAGGAACAAAGCACATTCATTGAACATAGTGTTCGAAGTTATAACTAGCAAAGGACAGGGAAATACAAAAGCACACTTCTTTTTAAAACTAAATGTTTTAAAAGAATGGTTACAAACACTTAGTCTGATAAAAATGCAGAGAGACAAGAGTCACTCCAACTTTGGTGATGGAATGTAAAGTGATACAGCCACAGTGAAAAGCATGGCAGTTTCTTTAGAAACTAATAAACATGCAACATCATTATCACCCAGGAAATATACTTAGACATTCAGCTCAGAATACTTGTATTAACACAAAAACCTGCATACAAATATATAAAGTAACTGTATTCTTATCATTAAAAGCTACTAAAAATCCAGATGACATTCAAAAGTTCATTAATCTAGGACCAGGGATTACTACTCTGGAATAAAAAGAAGCAAATTTGACATGTCTCTGGGTAAATCTTCAAAAAATTGTTGCTTAGTGACAAAAGTCAAACCCTAATGCTAACATATTCTGAGACTATTTATATAAATATACTTGACATGACAAAATTTATTACAGAAATGGAGAACAGATGAGGGTGTGGCAGGAGTTAAGGAGGAGGCTGGAGAGAAGGCAGAGGGTATGACTATAAAAAAGGCAGCCTAAGGGATCTTTTCTGTGATAGAAGAGATCTCCATCTTGATTCTAACAGTGTTAACAGCCTGATTGTGGTACAGTTCTATGTTCTATACAGCTCTGTAAGATGTTACACAGTTGTGGAAAACATGGTAGTAAGCATACAAGATCTGTTATTAATTCTTACAACTGCAAGTGAATCTACCAAAAGCTGAGTTACAGAAAAGGAACAGGAAAAGTGTAATAAAAGAGAATCCACGTTAAAAAAAAAAAAAAAGTATTTTCATTTTGGTATTTACTACCATGTCATTCCATTAATAAAACTGGAAGCAAACAAGTTTAAGAAAAAGTGCTGAGAAGCACAATTATTCTAACAAGGATTGGGTTCCTTTCTACCTGTATAAGTCACTTTTCTTTAAAGCTTGAAAAATGAACACTGGAATATTCGTGTTACTCTCTCCTATCATATCCTGTACTGTGTAATGACTGTCTTTGATGCTAACTGGATGCCAGAAAGTACAGAAAAACCCAGATGTTTTCTCAGTTTTATTGCTAACGAACTTACACAGATGCAAATAAAGACAAAAAAACAAAAAACAAAAAAACTGTATTTTCCATTTACTCACCTGGTTCATTAAATTCAGATTTGAATTTTTTCCGACCTTGCACCTGAGATTTTTTCCTTTGTTTGGCTTCTTTTTCCTTTTCATCATCACTGAAATCTAAGGCCTTGCAGAGAAAAAGAGAATTGCGTTTCAAGGATTTTCCATTTCAAGGGTACTTATCTGGAGGTAAGGATAATACGCCTATTGTTTAACACTAATCCTGGAAATAATTTATCCTTTTGATACTTAATATCATCCAGTAATATCTGAATTAGATACGACAGAAAAATATTTTTTGATAAGTGTCTATGGCTCTTACTACAGTCCTAGGTAACTTTAACAGGTCAATTTTTAACACATTTAAAATATGGCTCCTCCCTAACCAGAAGTCTGACTTCTCTCTTAGAAACAAGATACATCAGAGTCAAGCTGCTGAAGGGAAGGGTCATTAGGGCGCTACTTAACAAAGGATTGCAGAAAAAGGCTTTGAGAAAGCAGAAATATGCATGACACAACATATGAGAGGAAAACACTTTAAATTTCAAGAGGGGAGATTAAAATTTAACTAAGAATTGGGGTTCACTGTACATCCCCTCAAAAAAACAAGATTGAGTGATTATATATTGACTTACATGATTTTACAGTTAAGAATTATAATAACAGAAAATAGTATTGCACTCCATAAAAAAATATGCAAAAACAAGGTCAATCTTTTTATATGTGTGCATATTTAAAAGAAAGAGATGTACATGAAGTTCATTATATGGAGCTTTTAGTATGATCTTGCTGAAATACAATCTAGATCAAATGTTCCATGAACTGTATGTCCGTTTACCTCCAAATCTATAATCTATCTATATATATATTATCCTCAAGTACATGATCTTTTATTACTGATTTTAAAAGCTAAGATGTTCAAGCTCATGCCAAACCTGGAACGAAGGGCAGTAGAAAATAATGAAATCAGAGGGAAGACATTCCTTTTCCTGAAACTGTTTATTCAAATAAAAAAGTAGATAAATAGGTTTATCACTGGTAGCCTAGGGGTTAAGTCTCAGCACTACCACCAGGAAGGCCTGAGCTCCAGCCCAGGCCAGGGCTGACCCACATGATGCAGCAGACCACTCCACACTCACCCACTGCTGCCCTCAGCAGTATATTTCAGTAGCTCTTCTATTCTGTTCCCTACTCTGTCTCTGCTGAATCCTTGGCTACACCCTATTTTCTCTACGCAAAAAAAATAAAATCTTAAAAAAAAAAAAGTTCTTAAGTGAAACTTTACCTTAAAAAAAAAAAAGGTAGATAAATATATCAATGAATTTAATACTGTGAGAATATGGTGCTTTAAAAAAAGGTTAAAAAAAAGGACAATGAAGATTCTTGGTACAGGGTAACCCAAGATATATCTTTAACGATGACTCAGCAGTGAAAATAAGCCAAAGAAAATTTTCAGGGAATAGGAATGTGTGCAGACACACACTCTATGTTGAGAAATGAAAATGGTTCTATAAGGCAAAGTAAGTTTCTTTTATAGACTAAGAATTTGGACTAAAAGTTTAGAGAACCTTACTGTGCCATTTTAAACAGTATCAATTCAAGGGCAGGTAGGGGTACTGAGGACTTTTAACTGACAATCGTTTATTTTTAACTTTTCAACACTATTTCTTCAGGATGCTTTTTAAGAAATGTCTGTAACTGAGGAATGTGGATTCTCCCATCAGGTCCTGCTGCAGCAGCACCTCAAACCACAGTAGCCGGGTGCTACCTTCCTCCTTTGATCTTACCACATTCTGAGCCTCCCCCACCCCCCACTCCAGATGCTTCAAGCTTTCAAGGGTTAGATGTTTTGTTTTCTGAGGGCTAGTTTTACGTCTGTCTTTATCAGACTCATGGTTTAGTTACTCTATAGTCCACATTTTAAAAAGACCATTTTGGCTATTTTACTGTGTCTGCCTAAAATCAGAGAATTCACATTTTTCATGAGCTCAACTATAATTAAATGTTCATGTTAGAAACAGAATAAAGGTATTCTCTCTATATAGCAAGCCCAACATTTCCTATTTTCACAGAATGATTTTTTAAAAAGTTTAAACCCCACATATTTCCAAATATGAAGTTCTCCCATTATTTCCAAATACAATTTTCTTATTTAGTACAATTTGCAAAGTTAATTTGGGGTATAGGAACACTGCTACCATTAATTTATATGGAATAATGTTTTAAAGGCAGTTTATTAAGCACCATTAATCTTCATGTCCGACAAAGACAAGTTACTAAATTGAAGAATAAATTTGTTTAAAATGACAACTCTGCTTTTTCATTTTATCAACAAAGTTGATTTAAAAAAAACAACAACAAGAAATTACAAAGGAAATGAAGGTGGTAATTAGTAAAATGTTACTTTTTCTAAGATTGGTCAAAAACTTTTAGAAGAGGCATGATTTCATTGATTTGCAGACTCACAAAGAAATAAGGCAAACACACACATAGAAAAAAAAATAAAATAAAATAAACCCCTAACCCATAAGGACCCTGATAACACAATGGTGGTCACCAGAGGGGAGGGGTGGCAACTGGGGGTGAAAGGTGACTGGACATTTGGTTGGGGCATGGTGCAATACATACAGTTGCTAAGGTGAAAAACTACACCTGAAACCTCTGCAGTGCTATGAACTACTAATACCTCACTTAAAAATAAAAAGCAGGGAGGAACACCAGTTGGAAACTACAGGCTGGTTTTCACCAACTGCTGACTTTTAAAATAGTTTTAAAAATAAAAATAAAGTTTTATTGGACCATACATACTAAGAAGCATAAAACAGTCATCTCAGAGAATGTGAAAGTGATTGCATAGAACAAGATAATATGAATACCAAGCAGCATTAAGGGTCTCCTGAAAACAAAGAATGATAAATTTATAAGGTTAAGTTCTGCCTTGCTTTCTAAAACATTGTATAAAAAGACACACTTACATCTGGCGGCGGCTCCTGGTCATTCTTCCACGATGCATCTGATCCCCTATCCCTAGGAAAAATGAACAAGGGAATATTAATATTCTGTCAAGCATTTATAAGTTGGGACCATAAAAAAGAAGTGTTTTCTTCTACTCTTAATCTGACAATATTTTTAGGGGCTAATATTCATTTCTTCTTTCCAAAGCATTTAACTTATTTTTTTTTT